AAATACCAAATAAAAATGTACACTTTGACTTATTTGATTATATTTGGTATTTGATTATACCAAATATATTCCTATTTAGTATATACATTAAATACTTACTAAAGTATTTATTTGTTTTATTTGTCAAAGTTAAGTATAGATTTGTTTATATTATCAAATCATAAAAAAAAATATTAAATCCATATTATAAAAAAAACAGCATATAATTTTATAACAATTCTACTACACTATTTAACAATATTTCTTTTTTATTATATAATAAAATAATAATTAAATATTATATGGTGAACAACAATAAGTAAAACTATTACTTTCTCTTATATCAAGGGATAAATTTATATGCTAAAATTAAATTTTTATTAGTATAAATGTTTTAGTGAGATAATATATTAATTATTTTACAAGCTAGCCCTAACATGCTCATATTTAATGTTTTAAAAGATGTAGAAAAAAAAACTTATAATAACTCTATTGTTTTTTAGACTTAAACGTTGATTAAAAGAGGTAAAAATTCCTAAGTTGATTAACACTATAGATTGAGAGTTTATATTTAGTAAAATTCCTAATTGTAATAAAAAAAATTAATTTTTGCTATATTCTAGAATATCTTTAAATTCATTATAAAAAAAAGGAAAAAAAACTACAATGAAAAAGCAAGTCAGCTATATATCGATTTGTTTTTCTCCTCAAATCACATTCACAATTTGGTTACAAGGAAAGGAAACTCATTGATCTAAAATATTATTTTGTCAGTAGTTTTAATGTACAAGAGACTTTAAGACTCCACTTGAATATATAAAACTTTTATTGAACATTATACAATTTTCTTGCGTATTATAAACTTTTATTGAATATTGCATCTTATAATATAATATTCTCCAAATAAATATATCTCGTGTTTTGCACGGGTCACGTACTATATATATCCCGTACATTTTTCTTTATTCATGTATATAATTATAAGTCTGGATAAATAGCCTTAAAATTGTACATCCCGTGCATAGCACAGACTCTGTACTAGTAATAATAAAAAGATGAACGTTAATTACCCGTACAACCAAGTTACGAAAAAATTACAGTTTTAGTCCAGTAACATAGGCCGATTTCCATTTTCATCCAGTAATTTAGTCGGATTCAAAATTGATCCAACAACTATTAAATTTTAGGCAATTCAGTCATATGTCTCTATCCCAATCGCCGGAATTCGATAAGAAGTTGCTGAACTGGCTAATTTCGACATTGACTAGGCTAATGTGGACTAATTTCCAGCACATTAACTGATATGGATACTTTCATTTTTTCCACGTAATTTTTCTTTAAATCATTTAATTCTAAAATTAAAAAATTAACCTCCCTCAGCACCTCCAAAACCATCCGATTGCTCTCCCAAACCCTGCCACCCAGGCTCGTCGTGCCAACAAAATGCACACTACTCAACCTCCTCCGGCGGCCTAGTCGATGTCGAAATTTGCCGACTCAACACTTACTAATTGAATTCCGGCTATCGAGATTGAAATAAGACTATACTGATTAAAATTTAAGAGGTATTGGATCAATTTCGTATAAAACTAAATTACTGAACAAAAATGAAAAACCACTTGTGTTAGCTGGAATTTTTCCTCCAAATTACATATTCATCTCTGAAGTCCATATCAAAAGCCTTGTGCTAGAGTCTGTATTCCACAGTTTCCACTCACGAAACTGCCACCTTTTTCTTGACTATTTTTTTTACTTTAATAATTAGCATGTTATATGGGTGGGGCATCGATGGGAGAAAGATCAACGGCATCTGAACCATGTGGAAATGTATTACTTTCCATCCATCCTCCATCCATTTCCACTATTTTTCATTTGGGATTCAATTTTCAATATTTGATAATTATATGCTCACAGTTGAGAGATGATTGTGATATAGTTTAGTTAGCTTCACCAACCGCATTGATGCTAATATTAAAAAGAACCTTAGATCCAATATTGGGTTCACTTTTTTGAGAGCCATTAACTAGATTGAGATTTGATGAATTTGTAAATTCAATTAGGCTGACATTGTTATATATCAGTCTTGACAAAATGTTTATGTATATAGTAAAATGTTATACTTTTATAAGNTTAGTTAATTTGTTGTTGGAAGTGCTCAACTGCTCATTAATTGTGCCACACATTCAATCTTACAATACCATGTTAATTAGGAGTGTATTCAATGGAAATTTCTATAAAAATTTTTTTAATATTTTGGAAATTCTGTTGTATTTTATTTAGGCTTTTTAAAATTTTTTAATACTTTTAAAAATTTTGAGGTATTCATTTGAAATTTTAAAAAGTTTACAAAATCCTAAAATATTTAATTTATTTGAAATTAGAATTTGTTAAGACTTTTTAAAATTTACTAGAATTTCTAAAAATAAAAAATTTATACGAAATTCTACTCAAATCCCACCCACAAGCTTAAGATTTCACAAGATTCCTCCAAAATTTAAAAATCTTAAAAAGTCTCAAAATGCGACTCGAATGGGGTTGTATTCGTTTAAGATTTCGAATGACATTTTGAAACTTTTTAAGATTTGAGACTATATAAGATTTTCAGGTTTTGGAGGAATCCTATAAAATTTTAAGTATGCAAGTGAGATTTGAAATACAATTTCATATAAAGTATTTTCTTTTAAAATCCCAATATATCTTAAAAAATTTTAAGAATTTAAGTCTCAAAGTTAAATATTTTCAAGATTTTGAATGACTTTTTAAAAATCTCAAATGAATACCCAAAGACTTTTAAAAGTCTTTAAAAATTCTAAATGAATACACTCCCAAATCTTAAACAGATACACCTTTAACACGTATTCACATGTGTATTAATTGAGTGGTAAAAATAAAATAAAATAAGTGAAGACGGGATCTGCTCCCCTATTCACGATGGGCAGAAAATTAATATATTCACCAGAAAATTAATATGTCCACTGCTTATGTGACATGTACAGATTAAGCATAAATAATGGGAGATAATTAATATGTCCAATGTATACATGCCACATAAACGGTGAACATATGTACAGATTGAGCATAAATAGTGGGAGATATAAATAGTGGGAGATAATTAATATGTCCAATGTATACATGCGACATAAACGGTGAACATATTAATTCCTGCCCACCGTGGATCGGGGTGCAAATCCGAAGTACTTTATAAGTTTCTCAATTTCTCTTAATAAAACTACTCAATTACATTTTCAAAGTTGAAAACAGAAATCTTAATTTGGATATTGGGCCAATGGACTTAGCTCCTCTAATATCTAATTTCACTCCATGTAAGATTTTAAGATTGGGCCTCAGTATCAAAGTTATATATAGTCCAAGTGAATATATTGGAAATATATATTTCAATCAAAAGTTATTCTTTTAATATTCATCATTGCATTAATTGATTGACTAGAAGAGTATATTGTTGAAAAAAAAAAAAAATTGTACCAAAAAAACAAACAAACTAGCATCACATCCGTTCCAACACAGTCAGACACCTCAAAACAACTGCACAGACAATCCACCAAAAAAACAAACAAGTCACAAATTACACATCAAATTCAGCCCTAATCAGTCCACCTTCAACTGAGGATCAACCTCAATTCGCGCCACCCCTTCCCCTGCCGCCTTCGCCACTTCCACCTCCCCCACCACCAGCTCAGCCGCCGCCGCCGCCTCCTCCTTCCCCTCCTCCTCCTCCTCCTCCACGTAGTTCGGATCCCCCTTGTCCAGCGCCGGCTCGGCCCCCAGCTCGGCCTCGTACTCCTCGGCCGGCCCCTCCCACGTGTACTTCCCGCCGTGCCCCTTCTTGGGGTCGTGCTTGAGCGGGAGGCCGTCGGCCGGGTGGCGGTCCAGCCGCCCCACCCCCTTGTCGGCGAGCTTCTTCTCCACGTACTTGACCGTGTCCGCGTCGCGAGTCTTCAGCTCCACCTTCTCCAGGTGCTTTCGGCCCTCATCGGCCCGACACTCGGCCCGAATCGTCGCCTTTTCGTTCTTCTTGTCCACCACTGCCTTCATTTTGCCGTATTTCTTGCTTTTCGAATTGGGGTTTTGATATGTTTGCCTTTTGATTGCGTAATGGGAGAAGCTTTGAATTGTGATTGATGATGATGAGAATTGGGGTGAAATGTGCAATTTATATAGAAATTTGGTTTGGAAGGTGCTGGAAATGTGTGGGCAAATCGAGTCCTTATCCGATTTGCTGGAAAGTTCTTCGGTAGTCTTGTTTATTCCACTAGGTTTTGGAAGCATTATATGTGTCATGGACTTCAAAAATTTTTCAACAATGAGTAATTTTTAACTTGCATGATCGTCCAATCTTCTATATACATTGCAAATAAAAAAATATAATAAAATAATATTTGTATGTTTTTTAATTAATTAGATAATATTTTTCGATAAAGAATATTTGTATTTTTCTTAAGTAATTAGATAATATATATTTTTTACTTAGATTGTGGACAGAAAGTAGGTGTTGGTGTGAAATCAACCGTTGTCTTTATAGCAAAGTTATGTCTGGAATTTGAAATATTATATTAATTTCAATTTGACAAGAACAACTATTTTCACTCAATTTGTTGTAAAGGTGAGGAACAATGTAGTTCGTGAAAAATACAATGAACCATAAAAATTGAAAAAACAAACAAACTAATATATAGAAAGAAGTGAACTTAAATCGAACGAAGTTTTTTTACTACAATAATTAAATCAAACATTACCGAAATACACAATTTGACTTGGTATTTTCTCGATTTTCCTATGCATTTAAATTTAGTTTGGTGTGGTTCGGTGCAAACTCGCACCGGAACAAAAAAGTATTTGAAGTTATGAATAATAATAACTGAATCACCCCACGATGTAGAAGAAAACGAATGAAGCCGAACTGAAAAATTTCAAATTGCATCGCACCACACCGAAGCGCATGGTTCGACTCGAATGTTGAATTCGGTTTGATTTTACTCACCCCTAATGTGATAGCTATAAGATTGTGTGGGATTGGTGCTGGGCCAGTCAATCCAATATCTTGTTGAATTGTATTATGAGTAGGGGTGCAAAAAAGCTGAGTAGATTGAAACATTAATTTTATTGAGTTAGACTCGATTTTTTGACCTTTTAGGCTTGGCTGTATAAAAATAACACAAGCGCTCGAGATAAGATAAAATTTTGTTCGTGTTCGGCTCAAAGTTATAATAACAAATATCTAATTAACGATATTTAAATAATTTTACGTATATTCAAAAACACATCGAGCACTCGAACTTACAAACTACAGGCTCAAGCTTGGCTCACGTCCGAATTCAAAATTCGGTCATACTCAAGCTCAACCCGAGCGTTCACAAGTCTCTCGCGCTCGATTTGTTTGCAGCTCTAGCTACGAGAATTATCCAAATACTTCCACCGTTTCAGCCCATCACTGTCACAGTATTAATTCCACTTTCTCTGGCCTATAAATGTTCACCCAAGCACAAGCAATAAAATATTGAACTTAACACAGCATGGAATTCCCAATAAACAAGCAAGAAATTTTGCCCAATCAAAATGCGCCACACTAGACATTTTGATTACAATAAAAAATTGACACCTCAAAATAAATGTTCAATAATAGTCACTCTTCCAAAATATATATATATTTTTTTTCCTTGTAGTCCCAGAAGTTCCTCACCAGTCATGACTATTGTCAGCTTCTCTAAAGTACTTGCACATTTATAAAACGCCTATAATTCAGCTGCTTAAATGCCACAAATAATTTCAATTGCCAAATAATTTAAAATTTAATCAGACATTAAAATTTATTGCTCGTCTGCAGGTATAGAGATGTTAATGTCTGGGGATGGCCTTTGATCTGAGCCCGGCCCAGAATCATTCCAGTCGCTGGTATCGTCAGTGGAGGCAGAGTTTGGGTGGTCCACATCAGCTTCTCGTTGAGAGTTTTGTATCGGGAATTGGTATAAATTGCTTTCCGGTGCCGCCTGTGATATTGGTATGGCGGCTGTGACTGTAGCTGTAGCATACTGGAAAGGAGTGGATGTTATAGCCACAATCTGTTGCTTTCTGTTCGGCATATGAGAACCATTTGGGATGAAGCTTCCAATCACAACCTGGCAAAGAAAAACAAGAATAGATAAAAAAAATATTGTCCCCAGTGACATTAGCATGTACTCTACTCCAAGAAAATATTTTTAGAATTCATATATTGTAAGTTTCGTTATTATTTATAATGAGAGCTTTAAGAGTTCATACCTGGATAGGACTAGCGGCCATTAGCATTCCAGCTAAGCAGCCACCAATCACACGGCCATCGGGGCTGGCCAAAGAGACACTTAGTCCACCTGCTCGACTTTTAATCCCATTGTTGTCAGAAACTGTGTATGATCCAGTGAGAGTTAAAATCTCAAATCTACCCTGCATAAATCAAAGACTCGAACTTTAAATGTGAAATCTTGAAAAATGAAATAAAATCACAATTTGGTCAATGTTGGTGTATTCAATTAGGATTTCTAAAGACTTTTTAAGACTTTAGAAATCATGATGTATTTAATTTAGATTTCTCAAGACTTTTAAAAGTCTTGAGGTATTCAATTGAGATTTTAAAAAGTCCTACAAAATCGCGAGGTAATTTATTTGAGACTAGGATTTGTTAAGACCTTTTAAGATTGGCTGAGATTTCTAAAGAAAAAAACATATGCAAAATCCCACTCTAAATCCCACCTACAGACGTAAGATTTTACCGGATTCTTCCAAAATCCGAAAATCTTAAAAAATATCAAATCTCAAAAAGTCTTTAAATGTCACTCGAAATCCCAAACGAATACACAATGTTGTCGACCGACGATAAACCCCTTCAAGTATCAACCCCGATTGAGAAAGATTTGAGACCACAACTTTTTTCTAGAGATAACCACTAAGCATGAAAAGAGCAAAAAACCTCGTATGTCAAAAGACCACCAGATGAACCAGGTTGGCGAATTGTGACATTAGAGACGGAGCCATTGGCAGAAAGAACACAAACTCCTCTTGAACCCTTTTGAGCAAATGTAAGGATCTTCCCAGCAACATCCTGCAAATTGACTTGAGTTGAGAGCAAGAAGAAAGAGAGAGATGAGCTCATAAAACTTTTGTGAGAGCTTGGCAAAGTTGTTACCTCGCCTGTATATACTGTGAGCACGTGTGGGGTAAAATCTCCTCCAGCTGTGTTCACCAATAATTCGCCTGCACAGCCAACAATTTCAGAGAAATAAAATGGACAATTAAAATTAAAAGGAAAAGCAACATTGACAATTTTTTTATTATTTTTCAGAAGAAAAAATGAAAATTGAAGAATGAGAATGAGATATAATGAGTAGATGGCTTCGTTTACAATTTACAATTCCGGTCATGCAACTCCTTAGGATTGACAATTTTAGTCCTACATTTTCTTCTGACGGGTCTATTTTTACTCTTACCAATTCTATCCTTAGTCAACAAAACAATGCTAGTACCATCAACTCTTTGGCTTAATGGTATCAATGGCTTTTAGGTGTTCTACTAAATGGGCGTGCTTGGGAACTTAATCAAAATATATATCCTCAGAAGCAAATTTTGTTCTCTAACTTTCAGTCAGTACCATACAACTTTCAGATATGCACCTTCACTAGTGGTAGAGGTATTTTAGATATTTCTATATCTTAATCCAAATTGCGTAAACTCATAACTTTTGAATTTAAGTTGCGAAAACAAGAACTTGGGGGAGCAATAAATCTCGCAAGACCGAAACTTTTCAAGCCAAATCGCTACCGAGAATATTTAGTCACCCAGAGTTGCTAGTCCATCATGGCCAATTTTGTAACTAAACCCACCGTGTAGACTAAAAGAAACATATTAGAGCCCTTTTTCTTTTCTATTGGTAAAAGTAACAATTACATATAACAACCCTATTTCCAATATACAACCCTAAGGCAAGAAAATGCCAGAAGAGAAAGACATCATCAAATGTGTCCCTATCAAAGCAAGATCCCACAATTTGGTACAGAATTTATCAACATTGACTAAAATTTGCAGGGCAAAAGTTCAAATCATGGTGTGTAGGTCTCAAAATGAAAACAGATAAAAAAAATAATTGAGAAATAAAAAAAAAAATTAGATAACTAATTTGCAGAATTTAGCAGTCAAATAAACTCACCCAAAGAACCAAGTGGCTGCCAGTTACCAGGGGCCGAAGGCTTACCGCGACCCCTTTTCAGCCCGGACGAGAAATCATAAGAAGACGGCGTCGAAAGGCTGAATACCGGCAGCGGCAGCGGCGGCGGCGGCGATTTCACATACGAAGCCCTTAAATTGCCGTCGGGATCGTACTTCCGCGGCCTTCCCCTCTTCTTTCCCCCCATCGCCGGCTGACCGCCCTCACCACCAACGCCGACGTGTCCACCTCCCACAGCGCCGCTGATTGCCCCACCGCCCCCCACGAATGCAGCCTGCGCCGGCGAGCCTGTCATTCCGGCATTTTTCTCCATGCTTATGTTCACCGCCATGTTAATGATTTCCGGGACCACAACGCCACCGCCGCCGCCGCCGAATCCTCCGCCGCTCGACGGCGGCGAGTCGCTCTCCGAGTTGCCGAGCGGCGAACCGGAATCGGTGCAACCCTTTTGCTCCATCTCCATACTCCCTGGCTCCCACATACGATTTGATGTAGAAATAAATTTATGAATCCAATTAAATCCTGAAGCCGTATGAATTGAAAAAGGGCAAAATCTTTAAAACAAAATTTGAGAGAAGAACAAATGGCGCCAGAAAATTCAGTAGGATTTATGGGGGATTTTGTGTGTAATTAAGATGATGTTTTTTTTTGTGTTTCTTTAGCTGTACTTTTATTGGTTTTTGGTGAAAAAGTTAGGAAAGGTGAAATGAATTTTCCTCCATTAGTGGTTTGGTAAGATAAGATGAAAAATTGAATAAATAAATAAAAAAGTAAAAAGAAAATAATTTTAATTGTATGATAATAAAAACTTGTTAACAAATATCGATGCATAATTACAACCAAAACTTTAAGGCTGTCGGTTGTTACTTTATTGGTGTACTTTCTTTTCTAAATACAAAAAAAATTCATAATTGAATATTTACATATACTAGTAATCATCTTATTCATATGCACAAATATAAATAAAATTTATAAGTTATATTTGTAAATATAATACTCTCTCCTATTTTTAATAAGTGTCGTTTTGAGAAGTTGCACAGTAGTTACGAATTTTTTTTTTTTAATAATAATTTTCATTAATGATGATAGAGATGGATGTTTTGAGAAAAGATGAATAGTGAATATGAAAAGACGTAGTGTATTTATTAGTTAGTAATAATAAAAAAAATATGTACAAGATATCCAAAACGTTATTTATTTAGTTAATTGTTGATAAAGCTAAAATGACATTTTAAAAAGATAAGAAGTAGTATTAAATTATAAATTAAATAGTGGACATATCACATTTTCAAAATTTAATCATTACTAAAAAATAAACATTTTAAATATAATTATTTAAGTATATATGAATCACTATATTGATTGAAAAAAGTACGGGTAATGTAATTTTTAATTTTGAGGGATCATATAGTCAATTAATTTAATTGAAAATTATTATGAATATTATTATTATTATTATAGTAATAATTATTTATAGTATTTTAAGTTGGTTTGATGCTATTAAACTATTAGCTATTTTAAAGAAAATCATTTTTTAAGATGCAAAATATAAGAGATAATATTGGTTTTATAATAAAGATCTTGAACAAAAATTTTTTTTCTTTTTTTTTTCTTATGTCGAAACGATAGATAATATTATAAATCAAAATGCACAAATGTGTGAATACATAGCAACCCCTAGCTGAATACACATCAGTCAACAATTGAAAAAGTGGGAGGACAAGTCAGAAGACCGCCTAGAATCCCGGGTAGCAAAGCTAGAATAAAAACACTCGCAACTACACTAACTAACTACACCAACAACAACGAAAACTACTAAAACAAAAGATCCCACTAGGATAATACCCGAGTGTCCGATCCCAACAGGATAAGAAGATGACACTCGGGCGCATAGAGGCCAAATGGCCTAGATCAAAAACACAAACCTAAACAATACAAGCATAAACACAAAGAGAACAAACTAAGACATACGAACCTAATCTACCAACAAACAAAGCCCTTCCCCAGCGGGTAAGCCAAACCCAACACAAGGCACCAGCGAAATAAGGACTATCCATCCTACAGCTTGACCCGAAATTCGGAACGCCACTCCCGCCACTGCCTAATGCCTAGCAAAGGACACGTCCCGAACCTCGAACCACTTCAAGGAGTAAGTCAACCCACAACCAGAGGAGAATAGCCCCCCACACACCAGCTACCCGAAACCCGACCAACACCACTGGCCTAGATTCGAGCGTGCCGACATCCCGAAGCCACAACACCAGTGGAATAGGGACCCAGGAGCGAGAAATGATCCACCTCAGCCCTGGCCGCCGCGACTTAGATGAGCCGAGCGTCCAGGGCCACTCCCAACACCCCAACTACACACCATCCTTCAGCAATCGGACCCAAACTGGGGGAGAAGCCGTCGAAACCGCCATCGACCACCAAACTGAGATAGAGCCGACAAAAGGATGTTGAGAAACCACCGTCAAAGCTGAAAAACGGACCCACATCGGAAGTGGAGCCGGCGAACCCGCCGTTGCCATTCGTACAGGGACGGAATCGACTAACGAACTCCGAGAATCCACCTTCGAAGCCGACAAAATCTCGATGAGTGACATCCACGAAAAGAGCACCAGCCGGCGTACCTTCTCTCTCCCGAAAGACGCGAACCGCAAAGAAGAGCAAAAAATCGGGGCATTGGAGAGCTGCTGAGGGCCATCCGCCGGCTAGAGGCCGGCTTTTCGCCGGGGAAGGCGAGAAAGATGAACCAGGACGGGAAGGAGGGTATCGGCGATTTGGAGAAGAAGGGTTTCAGAGGGTGCGGCTTTTTGAACAAAACATTTGCAATGTAACTTTGTATACTTATATAATTTCTATATAACATTTAGTTTAACTTATTATTAGTTAGTATTAATATTAACTATTATATACTATAATAGTAAAAAATATATGACTACACTTAATTAAAATAATTGTGACTGTTTTCTGCCATAAATGGCTAAAATATGGGCGGGAAACATTACTAAATGAAGTTGAATAAAATATAAGAAATAAAATATTGGATTAATGATTAAGATTTTGTAACGTCTTTTTATATTTTTATTAATTGTTCTCCCAGCAATTATATATATATATATATTATAGTTGTTATAGACTTATAGTTCACTGAAATTCAAAAAGCATACTCTAAAGGTTAATACAAAATGTATTTCTATATCGATGTATATATATATTTAGTAAAATATATTTATTTATTTATTTTAGTAAAATGTATTTATTTGTTGATGTATATATATGTTTAGTTTTATACTTCAGGTACAATAATGTACTCCTGTTTTAAAATAAAGATACTTCTAAAACAATAAATAATTAAAAAGTCATGTTTTTCTTATTTAACTTTTAGTAGATTTTTCTAAATCATATAATTATGTATCTTTTGCCTAATAATGTTTAAGGAATTAAGATTTTATGATAATTAAAGTTATAATTTTTTGTATAATATAATTAGGATAATAATCTAAATGACAAATAATTAAAAATCAAAAGTCTAACTTTAAACTGATTTAAAGGTGACTCTTCTCTCCAAAAATCCCAAAATCGCCGAACCCGAGCTCCAGTCAAATTCAGCCGCTCTGAGCCTCCTTCTGTTGCCGTCTGGGTCGTCGGTGGACGGTTCTTCGCTGCACAACCATGTAGTCGCGGGGCTCTCTTTCTTCCGTCGAATGCTTAGGGGTTCAGGCGGTCTTTGCCAGGTCGTGCAAGTGGTCGGATCTGTGCGAAGTTCGACGGCGTCCCGGAGTAGTGTGGAAGGAGGAGTACTAGGTCTGGAGATGGTGGTGGCTCGGACTACCTATGTTCTCACCGGATTGGGGCGGTTCTTCTCGCCGGGTCCTGAGGTTAGCTCTGTACTCGATCTCTTGCTCCTGCTGGGGTCGGTTTGTGACTTTCGATCGCCGGCAGCTTGACGTCGCTGGGGTGAGGGTCAGGGTTCTGTCTTTAGGGCTGGGTGGAGGGCGTCTCGCTCGTCTAGGCTATGTAGGTTAGATGGGGCTTTGTCGCCATTCGATCCTCTTCCTTCCTTGTTCTCTGATTCGGAGGCCGAGGGAGGTCAGCCGTTCCCGGCTTTCGCTAGTAGTGTTAGTCGACTTCGGGATGGTGTCGGACTGGGCTAGTGGTGTTAGCCGGTTGGAGGGCGGTTGTGGCTTTTTACAGCCGAAGAGCGGGTTGATTCGTTTGGATTCGTTCGAGGCTCAGGTCCTCGTCTTTGCTAGGCAATAGGCAATGGCGGGCGTGGCACCTGTGCTTCAGTTCTCTTCTTGGAGTTGGCCTATGTCTGCTGTTCAATTTGGATGTGTTGCCGAGGGAGGGCCTCGATTTTTTAGTTTTTGTTAGGCTTTGTCATGGTTTTTTAGTTTGCCTGTTCAGTCTTGTGTTTTTGGCTTGGGCCGTTGGCCTCTGTGTTGCCTGAGTAGTGAGTGAGTATTACCCTGTTGAGGTCGTTTTCTCTTATTCTCCTCTTAGGAGCCTTTTGATTTCTGTAGTTGGTTTGTGTTTTAGTGTGTTGCCAAGTGTTTCTACCGTTGCTAGTTGGCGATTCTAGGAGGTCTTCGGACCTGTCCTCCCAATTCTCTCAGTCATTGGTTGTATTATTCAGCTACTGGTTGTACCTTGCATTTTTTTGCGTCTTAGTTATAAAACTCTCTATCATTTCGGAAAAGAATAAAAAAAAAAAAAAAACTGATTTAAAGCATGGATAAAGTATATAATATATCTACAATAGTATATTCATTATTCATACGAAGATTCAACCTATGTATACATATATTTATGTTTATGCTAGGTGTCTAATATTAACTTCTAACTTACGTTTACATATCAAATATCCACTAGTACACTACACGTGTACTATACGGGTAGGGGTGAACAAAACCGAGCCAAAATAAAAAAATCAAACAGAACCAAACCAATGTATTCGGTGCGGTTCGATTTTGTGTCTGAAATAGACGCATAAAAAATAGACGATCGATAGACTGCACAATAATGTTATACTAGATGCACATTTATGTACGTGTGCTTTCACTTTATCGAGTTCAATTCTTGCACTTTATCTGTATCGATATTTCGTACATTATATATTCAATCAAAAATAATATAAAAATATAAATAAAATAACAAAATAAATATAATTTTAATATAAGTATAAATTGTTTCAATTAGTTATGATAATTCAGTTGACCAATCGAATAAACCAAATTTTTCAGTTTGGTTTCAATTTAATTTGGGACAAGATTCGCACATTAATAACTCTGCTATATTGCACATTATATTTTGTTTATATAGAATATTACATTTCGTAATACAAAAAAAACGTAATATAAATTTTTAAATCAAAAAATATTACGTCACCAAATATATTTTTTTATAATACGAATAATATTCTGTCTATTATTCCGGTTTCGACATTCTCTCGGTCGATTAAACCCAACCGACCAATGATCCGACCAATTAATAACTATTTAATTTTGTAAAAATGTAACAGTTTTTATAATGTGCTTGTAAATGCACAATTTCGTGCATATAATGTGTTATTAATGTGCAATATATCAAACTTTGGATAAATAATAAAACCTTCCCACTTTCAAAATATCATGTAATAAAAGTT